TGGTATAGGGGTGCCCCATAGGATATAGGGGTGCCCCATAGGGTATAGGGGTGCCCCATAGGATATAGGGGTGCCCATAGGGTATAGGGGTGCCCCATAGGATATAGGGGTCCCATAGGGTATAGGGTGCCCCATAGGGTATAGGGTGCCCCATAGGCTCTAGGCTGCCCCATAGGGTATAGGGCTGCCCCATAGGATATATTGTGCCCCATAGGCTCTAGGCTGCCCCATATGCTCTAGCGTGCCCCATAGGATATATTGTGCCCCATAGGGTATAGGGCTGCCCCATAGGCTCTAGGCTGCCCCATAGGGTATAGGGTGCCCCATAGGATATATTGTGCCCCATAGGCTCTAGGCTGCCCCATAGGGTATAGGGCTGCCCCATAGGATATATTGTGCCCCATAGGCTCTAGGCTGCCCCATAGGGTATAGGGCTGCCCCATAGGATATATTGTGCCCCATAGGCTCTAGGCTGCCCCATAGGGTATAGGCTGCCCCATAGGATATATTGTGCCCCATAGGCTCTAGGCTGCCCCATAGGGTATAGGGTGCCCCATAGGATATATTGTGCCCCATAGGATATAGGGCTGCCCCATAGGATATACTGTGCCCCATAGGCTCTAGGCTGCCCCATAGGATATATTGTGCCCCATAGGCTATAGGGCTGCCCCATAGGCTCTCACCTTGTCGTACCAGCAGCGGATGCTGAGCTGCCCGCAGAGGCAGTTGCTGGAGGAGCAATCGTCCTGGCACGTGCAGTGCTGGGGGGGACAGAGAGGGACCCATAGCGACCCATAGAGACCCATAGGGACCCATAGAGACCCATAGGGATCCATAGGGACCCATAGGGACACATAGGGACACATAGAGACACATGAGACACATAGAGACCCATAGAAACCCATAGGGACTCATAGGGACCCATAGGGATACATAGGGACACACAGAGACCCATAGGGACCCATAGGGACCCATAGAGACCCATAGGGACACATAGGGATACATAGAGACCCATAGGGATCCATAGGGATCCATAGGGACCATAGGGACCCATAGGGAACATAGGGACCCATAGGGACCCATAGGGATCCATAGAGACCCATAGGGATCCATAGGGACCCATAGGGCTACACAGAACCCCCATAGAACCCCACAGAACCCCCACAGGACCCCCATAGAGCCCCACAGAACCCCCATAGGACCCGTATCACCCCATATCACCCTATAGGACCCCATATCACCCCACAGGACCCCCATAGAAGGACCGATAGAGCCCCATAGAACCCCCATAGGACCTCCATAGAGCCCCACAGAACCCCCATAGCACCCCATATCGCCCCATAAGAACCCCATAGAGCCCCACAGGACCCCCACAGAAGACCGATAGAGCCCCATAGAACCCCCATAGAGCCCATAAACCCCCATAGCACCCCATAGAACCCCATATCGCCCCACAGGACCCCCCCAGAGCCCCACAGTACCCCCCAAGCAACCCACCGAACCCCCATAAGACCCCTCTAGAACCCCACAGACCCCCCCACAGCCCCATAGGACCCCATTCCCCCCATCCCCGTCGCCCCATAGCCGCCCTATAGGGCGCACCTGGAGGTGGGTGATGTTGTGGTCGATGTTCATGGTGGAGGTCTCGCAGTTCTCGGCGATGTATTTGTAATCCTGGGGGCAGGGCTCCTCGTCCACCCCATTGACGCAGGGGATGGGCACGTTCTCGTAGCCCCGCGCCACATCCCTAGGGATGCAGGGATGCAGGGATGCTCTTGGGTACCACCGAGCATCAATGGTACCCATGGGATGCTGTTGGGTACCACCGAGCATCAATGGTACCCAAGGGATGCTCCAGGTACCACCGAGCATCAATGGTACCCAAGGGATGCTCCAGGTACCACCGAGCATCAATGGTACCCAAGGATGCTGTTGGGTACCACCAAGCATCAATGGTACCCAAGGGATGCTCCAGGTACCACCGAGCATCAATGGTACCCAAGGGATGCTCTCGGGTACCACCGAGCATCAATGGTACCCAAGGGATGCTGTTGGGTACCACCGAGCATCAATGGTACCCAAGGGATGCTCCAGGTACCACCGAGCATCAATGGTACCCAAGGGATGCTCCAGGTACCACCGAGCATCAATGGTACCCAAGGATGCTCCAGGTACCACCGAGCATCAATGGTACCCAAGGGATGCTCCAGGTACCACTGAGCATCAATGGTACCCAAGGGATGCTGTTGGGTACCACCGAGCATCAATGGTACCCAAGGGATGCTGTTGGGTACCACCGAGCATCAATGGTACCCAAGGGATGCTGTTGGGTACCACCGAGCATCAATGGTACCCAAGGGATGCTCCAGGTACCACCGAGCATCAATGGTACCCAAGGGATGCTGTTGGGTACCACCGAGCATCAATGGTACCCAAGGGATGCTGTTGGGTACCACCGAGCATCAATGGTACCCATGGGATGCAGTTGGGTACCACCGAGCATCAATGGTACCCAAGGGATGCTCCAGGTACCACCGAGCATCAATGGTACCCAAGGGATGCTCTCAGGTACCACCGAGCATCAATGGTACCCATGGGATGCTCTCAGGTACCACCGAGCATCAATGGTACCCAAGGGATGCTGTTGGGTACCACCGAGCATCAATGGTACCCAAAGGATGCTGTTGGGTACCACCGAGCATCAATGGTACCCATGGGATGCTCCAGGTACCACCGAGCATCAATGGTACCCAAGGGATGCTCCAGGTACCACCGAGCATCAATGGTACCCAAGGGATGCTCCAGGTACCACTGAGCATCAATGGTACCCAAGGGATGCTGTTTGGTACCACCGAGCATCAATGGTACCCAAGGGATGCTGTTGGGTACCACCGAGCATCAATGGTACCCAAGGGATGCTCCAGGTACCACCGAGCATCAATGGTACCCAAGGGATGCTCCAGGTACCACCGAGCATCAATGGTACCCAAGGGATGCTGTTGGGTACCACCGAGCATCAATGGTACCCAAGGGATGCTCCAGGTACCACTGAGCATCAATGGTACCCAAGGGATGCTGTTTGGTACCACCGAGCATCAATGGTACCCAAGGGATGCTCCAGGTACCACCGAGCATCAATGGTACCCAAGGGATGCTCCAGGTACCACCGAGCATCAATGGTACCCAAGGGATGCTCCAGGTACCACCGAGCATCAATGGTACCCAAGGGATGCTCCAGGTACCACCGAGCATCAATGGTACCCAAGGGATGCTCCAGGTACCACCGAGCATCAATGGTACCCAAGGGATGCTCCAGGTACCACCGAGCATCAATGGTACCCATGGGATGCTCTCGGGTACCACCGAGCATCAATGGTACCCAATTGATGCTCCAGGTACCACCGAGCATCAATGGTACCCAAGGGATGCAGGGATGCGCCTATAACCCCCTATAGGAGCCCATAGGACCCTAATGGACCCCTAGAGAACCCTACAGACCCCCATAGGACCCCCATAGCCCCTCCTAGAGGCCCATAGGACCCCCCATAGACCCCCATAGGACCCCCACAGGACCCCGTAGGACACCCATAGACCCCAATAGACCCCCATAGGACCCCTCTAGAGTCCCATAGGACCCCATAGACCCCCATAGGATCCCCACAGGACCCCCGTAGGACACCCATAGACCCCCATAGGACCCCCATAGCCCGCTCTAGAGCCCCATAGGACCCCCATAGACCCCCATAGCCCCCCATAGAGACCCATAGGACCCCCACAGGCCCCTCTAGAGACCCATAGGACCCCCATAGACCCCCATAGGACCCCGTAGAGGCCCATAGGACCCCCATAGAGGCCCATAGGACTCCCATAGCCCCTTCTAGAGTCCCATAGGACCCCCATAGGACCCCCATAGCCCCTCTAGAGTCCCATAGGACCCCCATAGACCCCCATAGGACCCCCCATAGGACCCCCATAGACCCCCATAGCCCCCTCTAGAGTCCCATAGGACCCCCATAGCCCCCATAGGACCCCCATAGGACCCCCACAGCCCCCTCTAGAGACCCATAGGACCCCCATAGCCCCCCATAGACCCCCATAGCCCCCCCATAGCCCCCCCCATAGCCCCCCTAGCCCCCCCATAAGCCCCATCCCTTAGCGCCCCACAGCGCCCCACAGGTCCCTGCTGACGATGCGCTCGGTGCGCAGCCCCCGGGCCAGGGCCCCCTGGCGCAGCTTGCGGGTGAGCTGGAGCGAGACCCACACATCGGAGCGCTCGGGGGTCAGCTCTAGGGGGGAGTCACCCTCCTTGTTGCGGAGCTCGGGGTCTGCCCCACGGGACAGGAACAGCCTGGGGGGCACAGAGAGACAGGGAGCCTACAGGGACCTATGGAGGCCTATGGAGAGCCCATAGAGACCCCATAGAGAGCCTATAGAGAGCTCATAGAGACCCCATAGAGACCCCATAGAGAGCCCATAGAGACCCCATAGAGACCCTATAGAGAGCCTATAGAGACCCCATAGAGACCCTATAGAGAGCCTATAGGGACCCCATAGAGAGCCTATAGAGACCCCATAGAGAGCCTATAGAGACCCCATAGAGAGCCTATAGAGACCCCATAGAGAGCCTATAGGGACCCCATAGAGAGCCTATAGAGACCCTATAGAGAGCCTATAGAGACCCATAGAGAGCCTATAGAGACCCCATAGAGAGCCTATAGAGAGCCTATAGAGACCCCATAGAGACCCCATAGAGACCCCATAGAGAGCCTATAGGGACCCCATAGAGAGCCTATAGAGACCCCATAGAGAGCCTATAGAGACCCTATAGAGACCCTATAGGGACCCCATAGAGAGCCTATAGAGACCCCATAGAGAGCCTATAGAGACCCCATAGAGAGCCTATAGAGAGCCTATAGAGACCCCATAGAGACCCCAAAGAGAGCCTATAGAGAGCCTATAGAGACCCCATAGAGACCCTATAGAGACCCCATAGAGAGCCTATAGAGACCCCATAGAGAGCCTATAGAGAGCCTATAGAGACCCCATAGAGAGCCTATAGAGACCCCATAGAGAGCCTATAGAGAGCCTACAGAGAGCCTATAGAGACCCCACAGAGAGCCTATAGGGACCCCACAGAAAGCCTATAGAGACCCCATAGAGACCCCACAGAGAGCCTATAGAGAGCCTATAGAGACCCCATAGAGAGCCTATAGAGAGCCTATAGAGACCCCATAGAGAGCCTATAGAGAGCCTATAGAGACCCCATAGAGAGCCTATAGAGACCCCATAGAGAGCCTATAGAGACCCCATAGAGACCCCATAGAGAGCCTATAGAGACCCCATAGAGACCCCATAGAGAGCCTATAGAGACCCCATAGAGAGCCTATAGAGAGCCCATAGAGACCCCATAGAGAGCCTATAGAGACCCCATAGAGACCTCATAGAGACCCATAGAGAGCCTATAGAGAGCCTATAGAGACCCCATAGAGACCCCATAGAGACCTCATAGAGAACCCATAGAGAGCCTATAGAGAGCCTATAGAGACCCCATAGAGAGCCTATAGAGACCCCATAGAGAGCCTATAGAGAGCCTACAGAGAGCCTATAGAGACCCCATAGAGAGCCTATAGAGAGCCTATAGGGACCCCATAGAGAGCCTATAGAGACCCCATAGAGAGCCTATAGAGAGCCTATAGGGACCCCATAGAGACCCTATAGAGACCCCATAGAGACCCCATAGAGACCTCATAGAGACCCCATAGAGAGCCTATAGAGACCCTATAGAGAGCCTATAGAGACCCCATAGAGAGCCTATAGAGAGCCTACAGAGAGCCTATAGAGACCCCATAGAGAGCCTATAGAGAGCCTATAGGGACCCCATAGAGACCCTATAGAGACCCCATAGAGACCCCATAGAGACCCCATAGAGACCTCATAGAGACCCCATAGAGACCCTATAGAGAGCCCATAGAGACCCCATAGAGAGCCTATAGAGACCCCATGGATACCCCATAGAGACCCTATGGATACCCTATAGAGACCCCATAGAGACCCCATAGAGACCCCATAGAGACCCCATGGATACCCTATAGAGACCCTATAGGGAACCTATGGAGACCTATAGAGACACCCCAGCCGCTCAGGCCCCTACGAACCCCCCATATCCCCTTCAAACCCCATGAAACCCATTCCAACCCCCCCATAGCGCCCCCCTCTCGCCCCATAGTGCCCCATAGCGCCCCATAGCGCCCCATAGAGAACGCATCCCCATCCCCTCAACCCCCCCATAGCCCCTTCAAACCCCATGAAACCCATTCCAAGCCCCCCATAGCGACCCCCTCTTGCCCCATAGCGCCCCATAGCGCCCCATAGCGCCCCATAGTGCCCCACCGAGAACCCACCCCCATCCCCTCAACCCCCCTATACCCCCTCCAAACCCCATGAAACCCATTCCAAGACCCCCTATAGATGCCCATAGGGACCCATAGCGACCCCCTCTCGCCCCATAGCGCCCCATAGCGCCCCCTCTCGCCCCATAGCGCCCCATAGCGACCCCTCTCGCCCCATAGCGCCCCCATAGTGACCCCGTCTCGCCCCATAGCGCCCCATAGCACCCCATAGCGACCCATAGCACCCCATAGCGACCCCCTCCCGCCCCATAGCGCCCTGTAGCGACCCCGTCTCGCCCCATAGCACCCCATAGCGCCCCATAGCGCCCCATAGTGACCCCCTCTCGCCCCATAGCGCCCCATAGCGCCCCCCTCTCGCCCCCTCTCGCCCATAGCGCCCCATAGCACCCCCCTCTCACCCCATAGCGCCCCATAGCGCCTCCCTCTCGCCCCATAGCGCCCATAGCACCCCATAGCGCCGTCTCGCCCCATAGCGCCCCATAGCACCCCATAGTGCCCCATAGCACCCCATAGCGCCCCATAGCGACCCCCTCTCGCCCCATAGCACCCCATAGCGCCCCATAGCGCCCCCCTCTCGCCCCATAGCGCCCCATAGCGACCCCCTCTCGCCCCATAGCCCCCCCCATAGCGACCCCAAGCGCCCCATAGCGACCCATAGCGACCCCCTCTCTCCCCATAGCGCCCCATAGTGACCCCCTCTCGCCCCATAGCGCCCCCCCTCTCGCCCCATAGCGCCCCATAGCACCCCATAGCGCCCCATAGTGACCCCCTCTCGCCCCATAGCGCCCCCCTCTCGCCCCATAGCGCCCCCCTTTTGCCCCATAGCGCCCATAGCACCCCATAGCGCCCCATAGCGCCCCATAGCGCCCCATAGTGACCCCCTCTCACCCCATAGTGCCCCATAGCGCCCCCCTCTTGCCCCATAGCACCCCATAGCACCCCATAGCGCCCCATAGCGCCCCATAGCGCCCCCCTCTCGCCCCCTCTCGCCCCATAGCGCCCCATAGCGCCCCCTCTCGCCCCATAGCGCCCCATAGCGACCCCCTCTCGCCCCATAGCCCCCATAGCGACCCCATAGCGCCCCATAGCGACCCATAGCGACCCCCTCTCTCCCCATAGTGCCCCATAGTGACCCCCTCTCGCCCCATAGCGCCCCCCTCTCGCCCCATAGCGCCCCCCTCTCGCCCCATAGCGACCCATAGCGACCCCCTCTCGCCCCATAGCACCCCATAGTGCCCCATAGCGCCCCATAGCGCCCCCCTCTCGCCCCATAGCGCCCCCGTCTCGCCCCATAGCGCCCCATAGCGCCCCATGGCACCCCATAGCGTCCCCCTCTAGCCCCATAGCGCCCCATAGCGCCAACCTCTCGCCCCATAGCACCCCCCTCTCGCCCCATAGCGACCCATAGCGACCCCCTCTCTCCCCATAGCGCCCCATAGTGACCCCCTCTCGCCCCATAGCGCCCCCCTCTCACCCCATAGGCCCCCATAGCGACCCCCTCTCGCCCCATAGCACCCCATAGCGCCCCATAGCGACCCCCTCTCGCCCCATAGCACCCCATAGCACCCCATAGCGCCCCCGTCTCGCCCCATAGCACCCCATAGCGCCCCCTCTCGCCCCATAGCGCCCCATAGCGCCCCCTTCTCGCCCCATAGCACCCCATAGCGCCCCATAGCGACCCCATCTCGCCCCATAGCACCCCATAGCGCCCCATAGCGCCCCATAGCGACCCCCTCTCGCCCCATAGCACCCCATAGCGCCCCACAGCGCCCCATAGCGCCCCCCTCTCGCCCCACAGCGCCCCATAGCGCCCCCCATACAGCACGCAGTCGTGGTAGCTCTCCCTGGCGGCGATGTGCAGGGGGGTGTCCCCATGGCAGTTGACGGCGTGGAGGTCGCAGCGAGCATCCAGGAGGACCTGGGCGATCTCAGCGCTGCCCGTGAAGGAGGCCCAGTGCAGGCAGATGTTCTCCTCCTGCCCCATAGCGAGCATGGGGGGCGGTCACAACGGGGGGGCTGAAGGGGTTCTATGGGGCGGGAATGGGGGCTATGGGGTGGAATGGGATTCTATGGGGCGGGAATGGGGTTCTATGGGGCGGGAATGGGATTCTATGGGGTGGGAATGGGGTTCTATGGGGTGGGAATGGGGCCTATCCGTGAAGGAGGCCCAGTGCAGGCAGATGTTCTCCTCCTGCCCCATAGCGAGCATGGGGGCGGTCACAACGGGGGGGCTGAAGGGGTTCTATGGGGCGGGAATGGGGGCTATGGGGTGGGAATGGGGTTCTATGGGGTGGGAATGGGGTTCTATGGGGTGGGAATGGGGTTCTATGGGGTGGGAATGGGATTCTATGGGGTGGGAATGGGATTCTATGGGGTGGGAATGGTACTCTATGGGGTGGGAATGGGGCCTATGGGGGGGGAATGGGATTCTATGGGGTGGGAATGGGATTCTATGGGGTGGGAATGGGGTTCTATGGGGTGGGAATGGGGGCTATGGGGGGGAATGGGGTTCTATGGGGCGGGAATGGGATTCTATGGGGGGGAATGGGATTCTATGGGGTGGGAATGGGATTCTATGGGGCGGGAATGGGATTCTATGGGGCGGGAATGGGATTCTATGGGGTGGGAATGGGATTCTATGGGGCGGGAATGGGGATTCTATGGGGCGGGAATGGGGGCTATGGGGTGGGAATGGGGTTCTATGGGGCGGGAATGGGATTCTATGGGGTGGGAATGGGATTCTATGGGGCGGGAATGGGGTTCTATGGGGTGGGAATGGGATTCTATGGGGTGGGAATGGGGTTCTATGGGGCGGGAATGGGATTCTATGGGGTGGGAATGGGATTCTATGGGGTGGGAATGGGATTCTATGGGGTGGGAATGGGGGCCTATCCGTGAAGGAGGCCCAGTGCAGGCAGATGTTCTCCACCTGCCCCATAGCGGGCAACAGGGGGCGGTCACAACGGGGGGGGCTGAAGGGGTTCTATGGGGCGGGAATGGGGGCTATGGGGTGGGAATGGGGTTCTATGGGGTGGGAATGGTATTCTATGGGGCGGGAATGGGATTCTATGGGGCGGGAATGGGATTCTATGGGGTGGGAATGGGATTCTATGGGCGGGAATGGGATTCTATGGGCGGGAATGGGGGCTATGGGGTGGGAATGGGATTCTATGGGGTGGGAATGGGGGCTATGGGGTGGGAATGGGATTCTATGGGGTGGGAATGGGGGCTATGGGGTGGGAATGGGGTTCTATGGGGTGGGAATGGGATTCTATGGGGTGGGAATGGGGTTCTATGGGGTGGGAATGGGGTTCTATGGGGCGGGAATGGGATTCTATGGGGTGGGAATGGGATTCTATGGGGTGGGAATGGGGCCTATCCGTGAAGGAGGCCCAGTGCAGGCAGATGTTCTCCTCCTGCCCCATAGCGAGCATGGGGGGCGGTCACAACGGGGGGGCTGAAGGGGTTCTATGGGGCGGGAATGGGGGGCTATGGGGTGGGAATGGGGTTCTATGGGGTGGGAATGGGGTTCTATGGGGCGGGAATGGGGTTCTATGGGGTGGGAATGGGGTTCTATGGGGTGGGAATGGGGTTCTATGGGGTGGGAATGGGGGCTATGGGGTGGGAATGGGGTTCTATGGGGTGGGAATGGGATTCTATGGGGTGGGAATGGGGTTCTATGGGGTGGGAATGGGGTTCTATGGGGTGGGAATGGGGTTCTATGGGGTGGGAATGGGATTCTATGGGGTGGGAATGGGGTTCTATGGGGTGGGAATGGGGGCTATGGGGTGGGAATGGGGTTCTATGGGGCGGGAATGGGATTCTATGGGGGGGGAATGGGATTCTATGGGGCGGGAATGGGGTTCTATGGGGTGGGAATGGGATTCTATGGGGTGGGAATGGGGTTCTATGGGGCGGGAATGGGATTCTATGGGGTGGGAATGGGATTCTATGGGGTGGGAATGGGATTCTATGGGGTGGGAATGGGGCCTATCCGTGAAGGAGGCCCAGTGCAGGCAGATGTTCTCCACCTGCCCCATAGCGGGCAACAGGGGGCGGTCACAACGGGGGGGGCTGAAGGGGTTCTATGGGGCGGGAATGGGGGCTATGGGGTGGGAAGGGGTTCTATGGGGTGGGAATGGTATTCTATGGGGCGGGAATGGGATTCTATGGGGCGGGAATGGGATTCTATGGGGTGGGAATGGGATTCTATGGGGCGGGAATGGGATTCTATGGGGCGGGAATGGGGGCTATGGGGTGGGAATGGGATTCTATGGGGTGGGAATGGGGGCTATGGGGTGGGAATGGGATTCTATGGGGTGGGAATGGGGGCTATGGGGCGGGAATGGGATTCTATGGGGTGGGAATGGGATTCTATGGGGTGGGAATGGGGGCTATGGGGCGGGAATGGGATTCTATGGGGCGGGAATGGGATTCTATGGGGTGGGAATGGGATTCTATAGGGTGGGAATGGGATTCTATGGGGGGGAATGGGATTCTATGGGGTGGGAATGGGATTCTATGGGGCGGGAATGGGATTCTATGGGGTGGGAATGGGATTCTATGGGGTGGGAATGGGATTCTATGGGGCGGGAATGGGATTCTATGGGGCGGGAATGGGATTCTATGGGGTGGGAATGGGGTTCTATGGGGCGGGAATGGGATTCTATGGGGTGGGAATGGGATTCTATGGGGCGGGAATGGGATTCTATGGGGTGGGAATGGGATTCTATGGGGCGGGAATGGGATTCTATGGGGTGGGAATGGGGGCTATGGGGTGAGAATGGTATTCTATGGGGTGGGAATGGGATTCTATGGGGCGGGAATGGGGGCTATGGGGTGGGAATGGGATTCTATGGGGCGGGAATGGGGTTCTATGGGGCGGGAATGGGGGCTATGGGGTGGGAATGGGATTCTATGGGGTGGGAATGGGATTCTATGGGGTGGGAATGGGATTCTATGGGGTGGGAATGGGGCCTATCCGTGAAGGAGGCCCGGTGCAGGCAGATGTTCTCCTCCTGCCCCATAGCGAGCATGGGGGGCGGTCACAACGGGGGGGCTGAAGGGGTTCTATGGGGCGGGAATGGGGGCTATGGGGTGGGAATGGGATTCTATGGGGTGGGAATGGGATTCTATGGGGTGGGAATGGGGTTCTATGGGGTGGGAATGGGATTCTATGGGGTGGGAATGGGGTTCTATGGGGTGGGAATGGGATTCTATGGGGTGGGAATGGGGGCTATGGGGCGGGAATGGGATTCTATGGGGCGGGAATGGGATTCTATGGGGTGGGAATGGGGTTCTATGGGGTGGGAATGGGGGCTATGGGGCGGGAATGGGATTCTATGGGGTGGGAATGGGGGCTATGGGGTGGGAATGGGATTCTATGGGGCGGGAATGGGATTCTATGGGGTGGGAATGGGGGCTATGGGGTGGGAATGGGGTTCTATGGGGTGGGAATGGGGGCTATGGGGTGGGAATGGGGTTCTATGGGGTGGGAATGGGATTCTATGGGGTGGGAATGGGGGCTATGGGGTGGGAATGGGGTTCTATGGGGTGGGAATGGGATTCTATGGGGCGGGAATGGGGGCTATGGGGCGGGAATGGGATTCTATGGGGCGGGAATGGGATTCTATGGGGCGGGAATGGGATTCTATGGGGCGGGAAAGGTATTCTATGGGGTGGGAATGGGATTCTATGGGGTGGGAATGGGATTCTATGGGGTGGGAATGGGATTCTATGGGGCGGGAATGGGATTCTATGGGGTGGGAATGGGATTCTATGGGGTGGGAATGGGATTCTATGGGGCGGGAAAGGTATTCTATGGGGTGGGAATGGGATTCTATGGGGTGGGAATGGGATTCTATGGGGCGGGAATGGGATTCTATGGGGTGGGAATGGGATTCTATGGGGCGGGAATGGGGGCTATGGGGCGGGAATGGGATTCTATGGGGCGGGAATGGGATTCTATGGGGCGGGAATGGGATTCTATTGGGGTGGGAATGGGATTCTATGGGGGGGGAATGGGATTCTATGGGGCGGGAATGGGGGCTATGGGGTGGGAATGGGGTTCTATGGGGCGGGAATGGGATTCTATGGGGTGGGAATGGGATTCTATGGGGGAGGAATGGGATTCTATGGGGTGGGAATGGGATTCTATGGGGCGGGAATGGGATTCTATGGGGTGGGAATGGGATTCTATGGGGCGGGAATGGGGGCTATGGGGCGGGAATGGGATTCTATGGGGCGGGAATGGGATTCTATGGGGCGGGAATGGGATTCTATTGGGGGGGAATGGGATTCTATGGGGGGGGAATGGGATTCTATGGGGCGGGAATGGGGGCTATGGGGTGGGAATGGGGTTCTATGGGGCGGGAATGGGATTCTATGGGGTGGGAATGGGATTCTATGGGGGAGGAATGGGATTCTATGGGGTGGGAATGGGGTTCTATGGGGCGGGAATGGGATTCTATGGGGCGGGAATGGGATTCTATGGGGTGGGAATGGGGGCTATGGGGTGGGAATGGGATTCTATGGGGCGGGAATGGGATTCTATGGGGCGGGAATGGGATTCTATGGGGTGGGAATGGGATTCTATGGGGCGGGAATGGGATTCTATGGGGCGGGAATGGGATTCTATGGGGTGGGAATGGGATTCTATGGGGCGGGAATGGGGCCTATCCGTGAAGGAGGCCCAGTGCAGGCAGATGTTCTCCTCCTGCCCCATAGCGAGCATGGGGGGCGGTCACAACGGGGGGGCTGAAGGGGTTCTATGGGGCGGGAATGGGGGCTATGGGGTGGGAATGGGGTTCTATGGGGTGGGAATGGGATTCTATGGGGTGGGAATGGGGTTCTATGGGGTGGGAATGGGATTCTATGGGGTGGGAATGGGATTCTATGGGGGGGGAATGGGATTCTATGGGGTGGGAATGGGATTCTATGGGGCGGGAATGGGGGCTATGGGGGGGGAATGGGATT